CTGGAAAACCACCTTGAGTCTTTAGCCCACGGGGGTCAAATTTGCGGTGTCACGTTTCACAATGTTTTCCCCCCTTTGCGGAGGTGGGGGGGCGTGGCCTAGGCGTGATGCATCCAGTTTGACACCCCTGCTTTAGCCACAAGGTGATCGGCTCAGTACATGGTTTACAAAGAGTCATTGCTATACAGGTAATCCTCGACTTGCGACCACAATTGAACCCAACATTTCTGTTGTTAAGTGAGACATTTGTTAAAGTGAGTCATGACCCCATTTTATTACCTTTCTTGCCAGAGATGTTAAGTGAATCACTGTAGTTGTTAAGATGGTAGCACAGTTTTTATCTGGCTTCTCCAATGACTTTGATTATCAGAAAGTTGCAAAAGGGAATCACATGACCCCGGGACACTGCAACCTTCATACATATGAGTCAGTTGTCTTAATTTTGATCACATAACCACAAGGATGCTGCAGTGGTCATAAGTTTGAAAAACAGCCATAAGTCACTTTTTTCAGTTTCATTGTAACTTTGAACAGTCAGTAAATGAACGTTTGTAAGTCTTCCTGTATGTTATTAAGCATTTTCTGAAGAGGTCCAGGATACAATCAATTACCCTGCCAATATTTCTTTTGTGCTTGTGCTTGGAGTATTTCTAAGCCTGCTGTAGTCTAGGTGGCAGCAGGTGCCGCTGTTCTGTGTATTGCTGAAGCTGAATTATTTCTTTGGTTGTGCCACTCATTTGGCTTTGCACACTCATGGCAGTAATCATTCTCCCCCCCCCCCNCTCTTTCCTTCCTCCCCCTTTCTCCCTCCATTATTACCTTCTACTTCCCTCTGTTCTTCCTTCCTTCCCTCCCTTCCTCTTTCCTTCCTTCCTTCCCTTCCTTCCTTCCTTCCCTCCCTCCCTATTAACAATCTCTAAATGCTGCCATTATTGGAATTTCTCCATAGCTACCCCTGTTCTGTGAAACACCCTTCCCTCCTGAGATCTGACAAGCCCCCAGCTTCTTTGCTTCTGGAAAATCTTGAAACACCTGGCTCTCCACACAGGCATTTGGGTAATGTTAGCCTGGAGCTTGGTCATGTGTGACTTTGATATGGTGCAGAGTGTTGCCCGAGGGTGCCATAGCTTTTTATCGTGATTCTTTGGAGTTCTTTCCTTGTTTTATTATTTCATGAGCCACACAGGGTTGTGGTTGGAATATGGGCAGCTGTATAAGTCTTTAAGACTAATAAATAAAACAATACCTGGAGGGAAAAAAGTAGATTTGGCTACCGCATTTCCCTAAGATGCTTTTGCCTTGCAGGCATTTCTTAAAATCTCTGGTATGCACCTATGTGTCATGTAGATAAATGCCTATACAGGGGTTTTTAAATAATCAGAGCAATTAAGAATAAAACGTCAGTTGATTGTCTCTCTGGCCAAAAAAAAAAAATGGAAACACTGAACATGTTACATTGCTTTAACGTATTTGTGATTGAGTATTTAATGGAGCATTTTATATCAAAGCTCTAAATAACTCCAACATTTGTGGATCTAAATCTCCCCCATCTTATTTTCAAGCAATCTGGGGGTCCCCTGTGCTTCCTAGCCGCACATCAAGTTTTGAATTTTTCAGTCTTAAAACCCAAGGTGCCAATGCAGGCGCTTATACTTGTGAGACAATTCCATCTCCTCCATCATAATAACGAGGGGGAAAATTTCCCATCTTCGATATAATAACGCGAAACAAACAAATAAATGAACCCATCTCTGCCACTGTGAGTCACAGCAATTAACAATGCATTAGCATGGCAAGCCAAAGTCACAGCATGGAAGTATCAGAAGCAGTCGGCAGAGAGAGCTTGCAGATCGTTCGCTTCCCCCTTCGTCTTCAAAATAAAACAAGGGGAAAGAGTTTGAGGCTGAACAACAGCGGCCAACTTTAACATAATCCTGGAAACTCATTTTCCATGGAAAGTGTGAGGGACAAGGCGGGTTTCCAGAAGCTTATCTATGCTTCATGAGTTTCTCAGCCAAGAAAATAAACAGCAGGTAGACAAACATTTTGAATTATATAGCTCAATACGTTCCATTATGATTGGCTAATGTCCCACAGCAGGAAAGGCGTGCATCAAAACACCGAGACACATTTAAAATTGCCCCAAATCTCTAAGGGGTGTCATCAGTCTCATCCAAAATCGCATGCAAAGACTCAAGATTTTAGAAGCTCGTGGGGGTTTTGCTCATTTTTTTAATTTAAGAAATGGCTTATATTTAATTTGGATATCCAAGGTGCATGTCAGCCCTGCAGGAAGGTGCAGGAAGGTGAACCTTCTTCAGCTTGGTGTTTTCGAAATGTAGTGGACGTCAATTTTCAGAAATCTGAGAATTGTAGTCCCTGTACATCCGGAAGACTTCGGGTTGGAGAAAACCCATCCATACTATTTTGAAAGAAGACTTTCTCCTATGTCTTCCTCTTATGACTTCAAAGACAAATTCACAGAGAAGGTATGAGCCAATATGAGTATCTGCTGTCATCCAGATTACAGAGTGCATTTCATTGAATATCAGAGGTTAGGGAGCAACCAAAGAAAGAAATTGGTTGGCCTTTTCAGGGAAAAAAAAATACACACTCAAATTTAAAAAAAGCACAGAATGGTTGAGAACATGTTCTAAAATGTTTATAGGAAACCAGCTCTGCAGGCCTCTTCACTACCCAGAATGCTTTTCAGCAGTTGCATATAAAACTGGATTAGCATAATGTCTTCTTCAACTTTTAGCAATAGCAGTTAGACTTATATACCGCTTCATAGGGCTTTCAGCCCTCTCTAAGCGGTTTACAGAGTCAGCATATNTCAAAGAGAAGCACCGGGGCAGAAATATTATTCAATTTCAGCCAATAGCTATCTAAAAGCTTCTGGTCAGTGAGCTGAGAAACAACTTTCCTGCAGCTAAGCTGGAGTCCTGATTACAGAGGAATAAAAGCAGTCCTGAGACAGCAGAATGGCCTTCATCACAGGTAGACTGCATTCTCCCATCCTAAATCTTCCTCTTATATAAAAATGCCCTTGTGGGTTGTTGTTTTTTTAAAGAAAAGAAATCTGAAAAAAGCACAACCCAACAGACCAGTTTTCTATTTGTAGGGAAGTCGGTAGAAACGGAGACGCTTAAAAGCTTTGGCTGCCCAATGCGGATGAACCATGCACAACACGCTGCATTGTTTCCTTGAGTAGGAATGCGGATTTGTGGCAAACAAACATCATGCAACCGGCCACGGAAGAGCATTACATTGCAGCCACGTTCACGAGTGGCTCAGGGGTAACTCCGAAAGGACTTTCAAGAATCTTTTCATTCATCACTCCTTGAAGGTAGTTTCAAACTCATAATTTCAAGAAAGGTTGGTACAAAACATCTAAAAAAGCCCTGCTCTCTCCCTCCCTCCCTCCCTCTCTATCTCAAGCTGTCTGCTCTAGTATATTCCTCTTCGGTATATGGACAGGAAGATAGGCCACAGATCAATGAAAGAAGCAAGCAAACTGGATTACTAAACCAATCATTTTTAATGGCTAAATATGATGGGTGCTAATTTGGAAGCAAACTCTTCAAAGTGACAGAAAATAAACGATGAGGTCAGAAGGTGTTAAGTGGACATAAAAGCCAAAATCTACTTAGATGGATAGGATGGGTATGCTCCAGGTTCCTCCCTCCCTCCTTCCTTCCATCCCTCCCTCCCTATTATTACCTCTCCCTCTGTCTTCCTGCTCCCTCTCCCTCCCTCCCCCTCCCTCCTCCCTATCTTCCATTATTACCTTCTCCCTTTCTCTTTTCTTCCTCCCTTCCTCCCTCCCTCCCTGTTATTACCCCTCTCTCTCCCTCCTCTGCCTCCCTGCTCACTTCTTCCGTTATTAGCTTCTCCCTGTTCTTCTTTCCTTCCTTCCTCTGTCTCCCTCCCTCCTTCCTTCCATCCCTCCCTCCCTATTATTACCTCTCCCTCTGTCTTCCTGCTCCCTCTCCCTCCCTCCCCCTCCCCCCTCCCTATCTTCCATTATTACCTTCTCCCTTTCTCTTTTCTTCCTCCCTCC